TTTAAAATTAAACAAAGAAAGATTTTTTTTATAGGTAGTATGTATGAAATTGGAGCAGAAACTGGAAGATATTATTCAATTAATGTACCACTTCGTGAGGGTATTACAGATGATGGTTAGTAGATCAACTATATTTTATTCGAAAAATTAACTTTTTGTAATCTAAAGAATTTTTACAAGAAAACTGCAGTCATTTATTAGAATATTGTAAAAAGATTATTATCAGAATGATCGTGAGTTGCATAAGATCGAACAATTTTAATGCTTGAGAAAACACTATAAGAGATAATTTGAATTGCTTATTGAACTGAACGACTAAGATGTATTCGTGTCTATTACAACTTCTTAAAGATTAATATTTATTGAGATACGTTGTTATAAGTAAAATATCTGCTGATCAATTTCAAGAGAGTAAGATCGATTACTATTTTTAGTTATATTATTCGACATTAATAATACTCATGTCACTTAATATAATTGATCGTACATTCGACCTTGTGTGTGTGTATATGAGAAATGTCATTTAAACGAATAAATCATATTTATTGGTTAAATGAAAGTTCCAAAAACTTATGTAAGAAATTTTATTTCTATAATTATTTCTAAAGTTCTTATTTTCAAATTAGAAAAGAACTCATAATACTCCACTTCTGTTAGGTAATGATACATTACTATTGATTTATCTAAAAATATCCTCGAGCTATGTAGAATTGATGATAGTCAAAGAATTATTTATGGATGAATAAGTATAAACAATCCAAATATTTGCTTGAAAAATGATGTTTGTCTTTGTATAGTAATAGAAAAAAAGATCTATACAACCAAAGTTTATTCTATCCAAGTTATGCATTATACATAATGATTGTATTCTTCATCACTAGAACACATTCATAACTTCCGTAAAACATTTAAAGAAAACCCTTCTTTTTTTTTTTTACTGATCGGATATTTAAAAAAAAGTTTCTTTTTTGCTGCTCTTTATATGCTTCGTAATATTTCTTCCCTGAAAGTTTTTTGAATTTTTCTCATGAGCTCTTCTTCCAAAATATCGAAAAGTAGGTGGAAGCCCTTCTTAAATCTCCATTAATAATAGTATCTTCAAATGTGCAAATCGCAAGCTAATCAACTATGAAGAACGATATCTCTCTAACGATCAATTTTGTCCTTCTAAGGTTTATATTACATAGAAATAGATTTTCAATGAACTTTTTTTGGTTTTTAGACTATTATGAACTTGTTTTCAAGCCTGTAATATCTACTGTCATGCAATATTATCGTCCGAAATGTATTGTTCTTCAATGTGGTGCTGATTCACTTGGTGGTGATCGACTTGGTTGTTTTAATTTATCTATAAAAGGACATGGAAAATGTGTTTCATTTGTTATGGAACAAAATTTACCAGTGTAAATATTTATTTCATATTAAAAAAAAAAAGAAACGTTTTTATTAAATTTTCTTTTTCTTTTTTTAGTCTTGTTGTTGGTGGTGGTGGTTATACAGTTAAAAATGTAGCACGTTGTTGGACATATGAAACATCATTAATACTTAATGAACAACTTTCAAATGATATACCATTTCATGGTATGAAAAGATTTATAAAAATAATAAAAAAAATATTTTTGTTTTTTTCTTTAGATTATATTGAATTTTTTGCACCTGATTGTCAATTACATCCGAATTTATTTAATCCAAAAATTGAAAATGGAAATTCTCGACAGGTATAAAATTTTCATTTTTTTTTTTTTGTTAGTTGAAATTTTCATTTTAATCTTTTTATTTATTTTAGTATTTAGAATTAATTGTTCAATTTGTTAATGAAAAATTACGTTTACTTGCTCATGCACCATCTGTACAAATGCATGATGTTCCACCTGATCTATTAGATACAGATAATCATATTGGAGGAAAACCGACAAGGCGGTATGAAATAAAAGATTTTGTTTTTTTTTTTTTTTTTAGAATTTTATCGTTTTTACTTTAGTGCTGATGCATCAAATGAATTTTATGATGATGATAATGATGTTGATCGAACTGATTAAATATACTTAAATATATCTTCATTTCTTTTTTTTCTTTCTTCTTTGGTGTACTGTGATGTATCGGCTCAGTGTTCAGATAGTTATGAGAAAAGAAAAATTATTATTATATTGTTTTGTCTTCTTATCTTGAATATATGTTGTTATTATTAATCATGTCGGTTGTTTTTTTTTTCTTCTTCTTTTGATTCTTTATTCTAGATGAAAATTTTCTCTTTTTTAAAGACAATTTTACTTCAGGGTTTGATATTTTACCGACGAAGAATTAAGAAAATGGTTTATCTTATTTGTTAATATATAGTGTTTGTATAGGGCATAAAAAGAAGAAATATCACCAGGATAGAATTAGGCTCAGTACCGCATCTTCTAGAAAGAGATGCTTTTTCGATCAATATAGAGCTACGTAGCTCTATACTTCTATAAATAGTGTGAGATTTTAAGAAACTGATTAAATGAATTCATGCATTAAATGAAAATTCATTACAAACAGATTAGTTACTTAAACCATTTGGTAGTTGTATGATCTTTTGTTTTTTGAATACCTATTGATTTTTACAAATAACTATCCTAATGTTTGAATTCCCATGATAAAGTTTCAATAGTAATAGATTTTATTAAAATCCAATTATTTTAGATATATTACAACATTTTCAAAGTATTAAAATTCTTTTGTTTTCCATCTTCTTGCTCACAAAAAAAGAAACAGTAGAAAAAAATAAGTAGCTGAGTTTTTAGTAAATAACTATTAAATAGTATTTTATATCTTCAAGAGTCACTCTAGGCTTGATACTCATTTCAGTGAAAAATATTAAAAAAAAACAATAAAATAATTTCGATAAATAATCAATAGCTTTCATCAAATTTAATATAGCTATCAAACTGTATTTAGTAGTTTTGTAGATTAAATAGATAGATAGTAAAGAATACAAAATGAAATAAGTAGTTATGAAAATCTATCAAGTAGTACTAGAAATGTTTAAGTAGTACTGGAGACTACGTGGCTAGAGAATTAAGAATACACAAATGAAATAAGTAGCTTTAAATTTTTGCCTGTACAAAAATCGTATCACTTTTAAAAATGAGCCATTTTATGGCAAATTTTCCTAAAGATATCGAAAATTTAACATGATTTAGTAATTTAATTACGAATTTTTTTGTTTTATGTATATAATTTAATTATGTCATTTAGAAAAAAAAGAAACTTATCTAGATTCATATTCATCATTTTTTACTTAAAAGAATGTTAGAATGAATATGAATCGATAAGAGAAACTTGTAATTCGAATATGAGAATAATGAACCTAAAAGATTAATTTGAATGAAGTAGTTATTGAGTAAAATTTAATTAAACATGAAACTTAACATTTCTAATATGAATTGATCTCATCAGAGATTCATAATATATATATTTATATCTTATATGATAATGATAAAAAGAAATATTATGCATCAAGAATTCTTGTCTATCGCAAAATAATTTGTATTTTCTGTTATTCTAGAATGATTATATCAATAAATTTATAATTTATCAAGTAAGTATTTGTTTATTTTTCCTATATTTTCAATATTTTAGACAATTATTGATTTATTATTTCAACTAGAAAAAAAAGATGCCAGTAATAGTTTTAATTAGAAAATCTCTTGTAAAATAATTCTTATCATGAAGAATATTTAAAAATCGTAGTTGAAAAACTATCATCACCATATATTGTCTATCTACTATACACTAAAAAATCAATCTGTTTTTTTTTTATCGACAAATAAATCTTTCAAATTTCCAGATCTCTTTCATTGATCAATACATTTCCTGAAGGAGTATGTGTAAATGTCAGGAAATTATTACTATCTATTGACGTATCAAGAATAGGTCTATTGAAAAAAGAAATAATAGAGCATATAATTATGATGGAAGAATAAATGATAACAAAAAAGAAAACTAATGTCTGTCATTCTTTACCAAGAGATATTTCCGTGAAAAAGGACAAAACCTTGAATAAATGATGTGTTATCAATAATAGTAAGCGGAAAAAAAAAGAACCAATATTTCGATTAATATTTTTAAGTATAAGGAATTAATAGAAGATTAAGATTGTCTAAAAAACAAAAAACAAAAGATAGAAATTTATCAATCATTCTATTGCCAAAGAGAAAAAAAAACGAATATTTAATTGTTTTAGTTACTAGATATTTCGAAGAAACATTACAAAAACAAAAATCTTCTATAAAATATGTTATTAATTTCATATTTGAAATGACAGTCTCATTGATAAAATATTTTTTATAATCGAAAACCTTCATGAATAATATATATATTACTAGTCGATTAAATTCTGTTTTTTCTTCATTAGTATTCGAGTATTTATTTAAGTTGAAAATGGTTTTTTCTTTAATATTATGCTTAAGATTGAGTATAGAGTTATGATATTTAAAATGAATGTTAATTACTCTATTCCATCGTACACATTTATATATAAATCAATAGCAGAATATGTTGTACTATAACGAAAAAAAAAAACACATAACTTCATGATCGCTATTTGAATAGAACATAAGAAAAAGACGACGATTTAAATCATTATTTGATTGTTTGAAAGTAGATTGACTAGTTATTAGCAATAAATTGAGAATCATATGTAAAAAAAAAGGTAATCGTTTTTAATATTTGTTTTGATATAGAAGTATAATTGTATCATGTTTTTTTTTAATGATTAACGAAAGCCTTTTCTTTGCTTTAAAGAAAATAGTTTCCCAAAAAAAAAACAAAAACAAAGAACGTTTTGTGTTAAAAGAAGAAAGAAAAAAAAATTAAAATAGCTTTTTCTCTATTCTTTTTTTTTTTATTTTCATTCACAGAAAACTATCGATGCTATTCATTGTGAGCTGTTTATGATAAAAACACAATGAATTAAAATAAAATGATTTTTTCAAAGTGCACATGCATCAAATAATTGATTATCGATCTTCATGTTTCAAAATAGACGTACTGTCTTTCTGTTTATTTGTTCAATTGTTTTTGTTCAAGCACTTTATTATATTGCTACATTACAAATTAAAAAAAGTCAACCACCTATTATACATACTTCATCTATATTAATATCAACATCACTTTATAATAAATCGTCAGATAAACATCTACCCTCCGTCCGACAAACACAAACGCGTCTAAATGCTTCAAATTCAACAGAAGTAAGTCAATTATAATTAATATACAATTTCTCTGTTAGCTATAAGACATGAAAAAAAAATATAAGAGAAATACAATTATGCAACATAAACAACACACAAAATGAGTGATAATAATAATAGATTTCTTTTTTGTTTTAAGAAGACTAATTACACTGTCGGTTTCAAATCAGTGAATATATCACATAATCTCACAATAAATAACTCAAGTCTCAATATACCGCTTAATCTTACTACTACTTCTACTGCTACTACTACTACTACTACCATTAAAACAACAACTCTATCAACAATATTAATCCCATTTTTAAATGCATCACTATATTCATCTTTTAATTTTACTAAACCATCTGTAGATATTTATAATTCTCTACCAATTTGTAATTTTTCCATATTAAATAATGATACATCAGTATATAAAGTAATTATTAGTCAAACACTTCATTCATATGATATTATTGAACAACGTTATGGAAAAAATTTATATCCAGGTGGACATTATATTCCACAAGAATGTCGAACAGAACAACGTTTAGCTCTTATTATATGTTATCGTAATCGTGAACAACATTTAAAAATGTTTCTTGATAATATTCATCCATTTTTACAAAAACAACAACTTGATTATACAATATTTATTATTAATCAAAATGGAAATGATCAATTTAATCGTGCTGCTTTATTTAATGTTGGTTATTTAGAAGCTATGAAATTATATCCATATGATTGTTTTATTTTTCATGATGTTGATCTTTTACCAGAAGATTTAAGAAATATTTATAAATGTGGAGATCAACCAAGACATATGTATGTTTTAAGAACAAGATTTCTATTTATATATGTATATATATATATATAGGTTGACAACTTATTTTCCTAGACTATTTTCTATTCTACATCATCGAGCATAATAAATCTTATTTTCATCATATTGAATAGACCTTTCAGTTTTATTCAATCTCATTTATACAAGTATTCGAAGGTCTATCGATTCATATTTTCACATTAACTTGACATAATGAATACTAAAGAATAAATAATGATTACAATTTTTTCTTTTTTACTAGAAAATTTTTAGTTTGTGTCTTATTCGACTAATTTAATTTCTAAAACATTCTATATTCAATCTATATTAGAGATATGCGAGAACATGAGAGAGAAAAATTGTCGAGATTACAAGAAAAAAAAGATTCTCCTAACCGAAATTAAAGATCATAGTTAAATATTCTCTAGTTTTAAGCGGATTATCTTATAAATCAGAAGAACATAATTCAAGAGAGATGACTCGAACAAAAAAAAAATGCTAGTCATTCACTAAATAAACCAAAAAAAAAAGACCGAGTACTGAAAGATTTCTTTTGTAGATGTGGTACAAAAAAATTCTCAAATAATTTTCTCTAGACCGGAACCAAATTAGATTTACCGAGACCACTAGAAGAAAAGTTACTGGAACCGAGACTACTCGAAAAGAAGTTACCGGGACTAGGACCTTGAGAAAAGAATCTATCGGGACTAGTAGAAGAGAAGTTACTAGGGCCGGAAGCATTAAAAAGAAAACTACCGGAATCGGAACTACTAGAAATGAAATTACCGGGTTCATTGAAGAAGAAGCTATGGGAATCGGCACCATTAGAAAAGAAGCTACTGGGACTGGGACCTTGAGAAAAGAATCTATTGGGATCACTAGAAAAGAAATTGCCGGGATTGAAACGAAAAAAAAAGCACATTCTCGCATATGTCAAATTTACATTGATACTTTCACCATAAATCACATCTAGCTGCCTTCTTTTTTGATACTTCTAGCGGCATCTCTTTCTTGCAAGTTAATTACGCAAGAATTGTTTAACACTGATGTCAAATAATTTCGCATCTTTTCAGCTTTTTGTTTTTTTGATGGTCACTTTTTCTTGTAATATTTTTCTACATAACATTAACTTGTTTTTTTAAAATTTATTTTTTTTTTACCTTGATTTAATTAAAATTTGATTTAAATTTTTAGGTCTGTAGCTGTTGATAAATTTAATTATAAATTACTTTATTCAACATTATTTGGTGGTGTAACAGCATTTAGTTTATCAGATTTTGTTGGTACACATGGTTATCCAACAGTTTATTGGGGATGGGGTGGTGAAGATGATGATATGTATTTACGTGTTGTTAAAAAACTAAAAAAATCCATAACACGTTATCCGATGGAAATTGCTCGATATAAAATGGTTCGTACACATGATCATACATCAGGTAAAGCAAATCCACATCGTCATACAATATTATATTCAAAATATGATTATAATCTTGATGGTATAAATGCAACAAATTATACATTGCATAATATAGAATTTTATAAATTATTTACGTTAATTAATGTAACATTAACTGAAGAACCATTTGAACATATACGTGCACGTTTACATATAAAAAAGAAAAAATGAAATGATGCAATTATTTTACTTTTATGAGAATAAATTTATCTCATTATATTATCTGTGATGATACAAATAATAATGGATTTATTGGTTTTTTTTTGTTTTCTATCTAATTGTTATAAGAGAAAAAGAAAAACAAAATTAAAATATATAAGAATGAATCATTTAGTCATTATGTGTTTTATGGATGAATGAACTTTTTGACTTTCTTTTTTTTTTTTTTTCTTTGTTTGTTTTTATATATATTTCTTCTTTATTTGTTATATATTTAATCGATGATAAATATAAGAAAAAAAAAAACCTAATGACAATATAAAAATAGAAATAAAATTTTAGTATTTTATAGATAAATATTCATCATGTCGTATATGTTACCACATTTACATAATGGCTGGCAAGTTGATCAAGCCATTCTATCGGAAGAAGATAAAGTTGTTGTTATTCGTTTTGGACATGATTGGGATCCAACATGTATGAAAATGGATGAAGTTTTATATAAAGTTGCAGAAAAAATAAAAAATTTTACTGTTATTTATTTGGTTGATATTACGGAAACACCAGATTTTAATAAAATGTAAGTGTAAATATATTCATTAGACGTAGTTATATTTTGTTTATGTTTTATTTAAATCAATATCTTCAGAACTTAGTGAATTAGATCATTGGACTATATCAATATTGGACAAAAAAAAAGAATAGAAATTGAACGAAAGAATCCGATCTAAGCGGGTAGGTTCGAACTAAGAGGAGACCATCTCTAGTCTATTTCTAAGGATGAAAAGTTTACAAATTGATGTTACTTGAAGACAAAATTTGCAGTTAATAGAACTCATTTTTTTGTTGCTATAGAAGATGAAACGCTGGAGTATCTACAACATACGAATAGAAGAAAATTATTAATTCGGAATTTCTCTTGAAATAATCTCATGTGGGAACCTCTTCAAATGTTAAATCACTTTTCGACCGAGGCGATATTTCGAGCTTTCGTTCTTGAGATATCGAAATTTTATTAGGTTAGCTCCGATCCTTCTCGGATCACGTGAAAATCGAGTTTCGACTTCAAACTTTGCACGAACAAAGTTCTCAATGAGGTTATATTATTGAGCGAGATATAACTTGTTCTAATATCTCCTATCATGAGCTATTCCAATATTCGAAATTCTCTCATGTGTAAAAGTAAATTTTATTCAACTAATCTCATTAAAAACTTTTTCATACAAAATTTGAAGTTGAAAATAGATATTTCAAGGACAAAGGCCCAGATAACCAGTCCATTCTAGACTTTTATTACTCATCAAATGAACATCGTCTCGGTCGAAAAACGATTTGACATATGGAGATGTTTTCTTATCATTAGTAAATCATTACAGATTAGAGTTTTGAATAGATTTTTACCCAGAGTGGAAGCCGAGAAGGTCGACGTCTCTCCAAAGATCGGGTTAGACCTTTTTTTTTCGACTTATGATCATTTTATTGAATTTTTAGCATAGTGCAGAATATTACGAAAAACAAAAAGTAATAGAAAGTTTCAGCTCAGATGAATGCTTCTTCTATAAGATAACATGTTTGCAAAAAAACAACTTTCTCACAAAAGCTTCTGGAAAAGTTTATTTTATTAGGTATTTCTATCTTAAAAATAAAACTCATTCGTGTGAACTGAAACTTTCAGAATATAAGAAGTACCATGAAATTTATTATTGAAGAAAAATTTCAGATGGATTTTGTCGTAATGTTCTGCACTATGTTGAACATTCAATTTAAACGACTATAACTCGAGGAGAAAGGTCTAAGGAAACAAACCTTCTTAAAGTTTGCATTTAAACCAAGCGTCCTACTTAAGAGCAAAATACGAGTTCAAATAAAGAGTAATCATTTGGAGAGATTCTCTTATAAGTTTAAATAGAAACTGTCAAGTTAACACAAGTATAACAAAGATGAAATGACTTCTTTTTCTCTTGTTATTTTCAATTAAATGATATTTCACTTAATTCATTTACTTTTTGTTTTCTAGGTATGAATTATATGATCCATGTACGGTTATGTTTTTCTATCGTAATAAACATATTATGATCGATCTTGGTACAGGCAATAACAATAAAATAAGTTGGGCTTTAGAAGATACACAAGAATTTATTGATATTGTTGAAACTGTTTATCGTGGCGCTCGTAAAGGTCGTGGTTTGGTTATTTCACCAAAAGATTATTCTACAAAATATCGTTATTAGTCTCTATCTGTCTGTTTCTTATTTCTTTTTTGTAATAAAATAAACTTGATTTGTCTTTGTGAACATATATATAAATATATATATATATCTTCATTTGTCAATGCTTGATTAAATGAATTATGGATTTGAAAAAAAAACTCGACAACTGTTTGTAGATATGACAACAGATCAAATGATAACAACTAATGCTTATCGATTGTTTATAAATCGTTTATGTCAATCTTGTCCTTTAAAAAATCATTGTTGTTTGCTAAACAAATTTATTGAAGAACAGGTAGATTTTTTGTTTTTCCTCGTATAAAAATAAGAATAAAGAAATCGAATGATTATATTCTTTAAATAATCTTTGAAGACAAAAAAAAAAAAAAAAAAAAAAAGAACTTCTTATTTTGTTATTATAGGAAAGAATATCACTTGAATCGACTTCACTAAATCGTTCTGATATACAAACAATAGATAAGAATCTTAATGTTTCATCTCTTCAACATTGTTTTCTATGTCTTGATATTTTACATCGTTATACTTCCGATGAATTTGTTCAACAAGTAAGATTTGTATTGTTTGTTTTTTTAAAATTTATATATTTGTTTATTAAATTAAAGATTAAACAAGTTGCTCAATTAACAACAATTGATTTTCAAACATTTTGTTGTAATCTTTCTTTACCAATGAATTTATTTATTCGACATGTAAATTTAAAAAATTCATTTCCTGTATAGAGTCTTTCCAAAAGTTCGAACAAAACGTAAATAATTCCTCGGACAATTCTCTAGGGATATAAATATATTTCAGTTCGATCACATATTCATTAAGAGTAATCCGCCGCTTTTCGGATTTTCTGAAGAAAAACGCATCAGAGAAATTTGAAGTTTTCAGGACAGATAGATCTTGACGAGTAGAACAAAAGTTGTCATAGACTCAAAATTTCCATTCTCAAGGAACGAGAATGCATCTCATACTGGATTTTCTAGCAGTTTCTAAATGCACCGAGGTGTTTATACATTTATGCTTACTTTTCTATTTGAGATTGTTATACGATTTTCGTTTCTAGGAACGCGCAATGCGAAAGTGGCTTCATCTTGAATAGTGTACAGTATATGTGATACACTGAAGAAGCAGTGGTATTTCTGTACCATTTTCATAAAAAAGTTGCTTTGAGAAACATGAGGTTTGCTACTTCCGTTATGTAAACTTGATTTTCTAACGTTTAAAGACAATTTTTGTACTCAGTAGATGGATACTACTTCAGACTATACAATGTCCACAAAAAAAAAAGAAAAGCTTTGACTCATCAATGCTAGCTTATTTAAATTTGATCATGAGTAAAAATCTCTTTTAGTTCTGACTTCTTTCAATGCTTTGAATTGTTGAGAAGTTATTTACAAGTCCTTTTTTTTTTCGTTCGGACTTTTGGAACATTCTCTATATCAATTAAAATATTTTTATAGACATATTTACTAAAGTTTTTAACAAAATTTGTTGGCGAATGTAATGAAAAAGATTTGCCTATTATTAAAGATCAATGGCGAAATCTAATGATTGATCGATTAGAAGAAGAACTTAAACGACCATATGAAATTGATGTATTAAAAACAAAAAATAATAAAATTATTATCTTTTAAATTTTATTCATTATTTTAGAGTCCTTTCGAAATTAATATAACATTTGAATTTAATAAAGAAAATGAAGAACTTAATTTTTTGTAAGTTAATTATTTTAAAGAATTTAAATTAAAGAAATACTAAATATTTTCTTTGTTGTTGTTTCTTTTTTTAAGAAGAAAATTTCGTTATGCTGATAATCCTAAATTACAAGTAAGATGTTGTTTAATTAAATTATATGACCATTGTTTATTTTTCTTATCAGTACCAATAAGAATAGCATCACTTGTACAATAGAGATTTTTTTGATATTGAAGTTGATTTAATGTTGTTAAAATAGTCCATTGATTTGTATAAATATTATATCTGGAAAATAGAAATATAAGAGAAATTTGTTAATATACAAAATCAAAATAATTAATTAGAAATATGATTAAGAAGCTATTATATGAATAATTTAGAATGTAACGAGACAAATAAGATTAAACTTTTAGTTATAGTAAATTGGAGTATCTAATTTTAGCAAATCAAGATTCCTGATTTTTGAAAACATAGAGATAGAATAATTCCAGTGTTTTATCCAGCGCAATGGTAGAAGAGGAAGTCCTGTCTTGTGCCTTTTATACCACATGCCATGTGTCCGTCTGCCTCTAAAAATAGATATTCGCTTCCATGGATTTTGAAAGTCCATCCGAATGAGAAAATCTAGATAATATACTAATTAATGTCCTTGTCGAATCTCAGTCATTGTTAAACAGTTACAGCCATGATGGTTTAATACTTGTTTGGCTTATAGCCTCAAATCTATTTGGTAGCATGTTGACTACATGGTCATTTACATTAGCCTTTGCTATGAATGTTCATGAAAACAATTTTGAACTAATGACGGAAGTTTCCTAACTGATCAATCACTTTTGAATCGTGACTATGCAGACGCTAATAAATTATGAATATTCTAAAAAAGAGTTCGAACTCTAAGCTTATTGCTGCTGATATAATGCATTTTTACAACATTTTTTAATACAATGCCGTGGCTGCCTTTACTTACAATAAGAAAAATGTTTTTCGAATTTCGATTTGAAACTTTGCACAGAGGCAAACCTCAACGAGAATAGTTGATTGTGAAAATCAACACTTTTACGATAAACTATTCTCATCAAAGCCTATCTCTATGTAAAGTTTCGAATCAAAATTCGAAAACCGTTTTTTCTAGAATATCTGAGAGAACCAAAATTCATATGTCATTAGGGTCTGTATGATATTCATAATCTCAACTTGAAGTGATAAATCAATTGAGGAATCTTTCCTTGTTCGCTATCTTTTTCTTCCAAACTTCATCTAGCATCAATTTCGTCTCTAAACTAATATCCTACATGCAAAGTAGTTGAAAGCTTACTGTTCAATTGAAATAACATTAATACTTGTCATTATTTTATATTTATCATAAATATATTGTAATCCACCAATTGTATAAATCATATCGGAATAATAAGTTACAATCGGTTGTCCTCTTGCTTCATTACATGATGCTATTGATAACCATTTTCTTTGATTTAAATTTAAACGAAAACATTTTCTCATTGCAATGGGTCCTTCACTAGTCATAATTAAACCTCCAACAACAATTATTGTACAATGATCAATAAAACAAACACCTGGTAGAAAAATACCTTGTTGATATCTCAATGGTAAATTAGGTAATGAACACCATTGTTCTTGTTTACAATTAAATAATATATTTGATGAAATTGATTTTTGTTCAGTTATTAAACCACCAATAAGAATAATATAATTAATAGTTGCTGCTAAACCAAATTGACTTCGACCAGGATAAGGACCATCAATATGTTGAATATTATGTGATATAATATTAAATTTAAACATTTTTGTTTTATATTCTCCTATAGCATAAAGAAATTTTCCAACATGAATAAATGCATATTTTTGTTCTGATGAATCAAATTGATTAAATAAATATAAAGCTTGTTGAAAATCTTTATTAATTTCTTGACGATTTCTTTGTAATGTACAACATATAGCTATTGTTGTAATTTTTTTATGATTAATATTCCATAAATATTGTGAATTTTTACTAGAATTTATTGTTTCTTCTGATTCTGTTATCCATAATGTTTCGTCTTGTGAAGATTTTATTTTAATTGAATTATAAGGAATAAGACAATAAGATGAATTATTTAATTCTAATGAATCATTACTTTCAATTTCAATTATTGATTTATCTAAACGATTAAGAATATTTTTTTGATAATTTATAAGTTCATATAATTTTTTTTCCATATTATAAAATTTATTTGATATTATTAAATTTGAATTATTATTTGATAAATTTAAATGATTTAAATATTTTAAAATTAAATATTCTATAATTATTTGTCGATTTGATCGATCTGTAAATGTTGCCCAATTAATAAGAGAATTATATAAAATTGATGATGAAATATTATTTGGAAATAATAATTCAAATATTTGAATAAGATTCTTAGGTGTTAAAGAAAGAAAACGTTTACTAGATATTATTTGTGGATAAAAATATTTTATTGCTTGTATAATTCGTTCATATAATACATGATGAATAGTTGGAATTAATAAACAACATTTAAGATATGACCAAAGAAATGATAACTACGATAAACTATATTAAAAAAAAACAAATAGAGAATGTCACAAAAAGTCTACCTCTTATGTATAGATTTCGAACTCAAACGAAATACTCATTTGGATGGTTAAAAAAATAAAATTGACATACTTTTTCAGATTTATCATACATTTTTTGTATAGATTCATTTATAAATTGAATACATCGTTGAATAATATGTTCAACATCTAATTCACTAGCTGCAAGAAATAAATCCGATATAGTATAGATATTTAAAATAAGTCTTGATGTATATATATAAATAAGTAAAAGTTCTAGACCATGATATGGTGTAATTTTTAATTGACATGTATATTTAATTGTTGAAGATTTAATATTAATAAAATAATTTTCAAGTGAACGACAAACATTTGATAAAATAGAACTATGTGCATAATAACGTCGATTTGAAATAAGAAAAACAAGATCACAATCAATTGATGAAGACCATAATTGTAGAATTGTTGAACTTAATGTATCAGCCATACGATAATCAAATTCAATATTATTATTATTATTATTATTATTATTTCCTAAATTATATCGAGAAAAATTCATTAGTTGATTAAGAGATATAGATGATGAATGTGAAGAAATTGTTTCTTCACTTGTTGAACTTGACATTTGTTTTAAAGAATATTTGCGCTTTTTTTTTTTCTTTTAAATTTTATATAACAATGTTTGCCGGGATATTTGAATGGGTAGTAAGATAGAGTTCGGACTCGGAAACAAACATTGGAAATTTTATTAAAAATCAAATATCTATTTCTATGTCGCGACGGCGGTTTAACTTGAGGTATATAGACAATCATGAAGTTCAAACCTAAGTATTTCTGAACATTGTTGACTTTCTTCAGGATATCTGCAGACTTACGATTTTACTTCTGTTTCACTTTAGTAATTAACTAAAAATGACTGAATTTCGAACGTTTAGATTTGATATTTGCCGATATCAGATTAAAGATTATTATAATTTTAGAAATCAAATGCTAATGAAGCATTCACTCGACAATCGGTTACATCTATTTTGAATGATCTTACATTTGATGATTTTGAAAAGTGAGTAGAACTATTCAAATAAGAGACTTGTAAAGAATTCTTCTATTAATTTTAGATATTACAAACCAGCTATTGATGGACAAATATCATGTACAATATTAGCTCAACATGATTCAATTTATGTAGCTGGTTGTAAATATATTTCTTTATTATTATAATATTATAAATTTCTTTTATCTAATTTTTAGGACGTTATAATAAATATTCTCGTACATTATCTCAAACTCCATGGATTATTGATGGAGTTCGTAAAGCTGATACATCTGTTGAAGAATTAATTGCTCTTCCTATAAGTAAACTTGTTACTGCTAAAGGTAATGAATTTTATTTTTATTAATAAAAATAATATTTGAAATATTTTGTTTTTGTTTTTTTGTTAAATAGATCATGTTTTTATTTCTTCGGGTCGTGAAGATGTTGATGTACGAACATTGGGTCGTGGTTAGTAATTAATTGATTTTTCTACTTGAAAAATATTCTTTGATTTTATTCAATAGGTCGACCATTTGTTATTGAATTTCGACAGCCATCACGAGTTTTATATCGATCTGAAGAATTTCTTACCATTCAACATGTTTATAAAGATTCTTTGTCTTTCTTTTTTCAAATATTCTTAAAATCTTTTTTTATTTTTAGGAAATTAATATGTTAACAAAAGATATTCGTGTACGAGATTTACAACAAGTAACAAAGTATATAATTATAAAATTAAAATTTTCAAAAAAAAAAAATTCATATCTATTTAATTTACTATAGAGAAGAAAGTAATCAAATAAAAGAAGGTGAAGAAGAAAAAACAAAATGTTATGAAGCATTATGTTATACTAATATACAAATTGATCAAATTGAACTTGATCAAATACTTGCATCCGTATCTAATCCATTAATTATTGAACAAAAAACTCCAATTAGAGTTTTACATCGGTAAATAAAAATCTCTGTAATTTTTTTTTGTTTTATATTTTCTTAAAATTTCATAGACGAACATTAATGACACGTCAACGATTAATATCTGCTCTTTCAACAACTGTTATTGATCCATATCATTTTCGTTTACGTTTAACAACACAAGCTGGTGCTTATGTAAAAGAATTTGTTCATGGTGATTTTGGTCGAACAAAACCAAATTTAACAATAATACTTAATCGTTTTGTTGATATTCTTGAATTAGATGTTCTTGTATGTAAATTTAAACTCACTTTTACAAAAAAAAAAAATATTTATCTAAATATTTTAATTTTATAGGCAGTCAATATTGATTTTCCGCCAATGTTAAGCAATGAAAATGAAACGAGATAGTTTTTGTGGTATAAATGGAAAATAAAATATTTTGAAAAATCAACAAGATCAATTTCTTAATAGATCAATAAAATATATATTTTATTTTTTTGTATCATTGATGAATAAAATCATTACAAAGAAACCGTAGGATACTTTCAATTGGCATGATTACTTTTTAGAAGCTTTTGTTTTGATCAACCAGAAGTATTATGCTAATGTCATGTAAAAATACAGTAAAATTTTTCATACTGGATACTTTAGAAAAGTCCGAAGGATATCTACTATAGAGAGGTTAGGATAAAATGCTGCATTTTCTATTCTGCTCTACTGATGATGGATGTGAAAGTAGATCAAACTAATTGAAGAACTAATGTATTAAATATGAACACTAATGATTTCGTGCTTTTTTTAAAAGTTCATTCATGGTGATGTCTACTATTGTAGAATTTTACAATGGAAATTTTTGAATTATATGATTGTTATACTTTTCTTTTAAATAACACACTATTCATTGTAAGAAACTTTTACTAGCACACACACACACACACATATGAAAACATATTGTTAATATAAATTTTTATATTTAATTCTTTCTCAATAATAAAACAACTTATTATTCTTCTACTATGAAATACAAAAACAACAATTGAGCATATAAACGAAAATAAGTGGAGAAGCAATTAAAATCCTAAAATATTGATGAGCAGATTTTGATCTACTAATGAATTTCTGATATTTTTGCATTTCTCAAATTAGAGTGACTAGATAAATTATTTCGAAATACATATATAGTATGTGATCTGATGAGATAAAACGTGACGAATTGTGTAGAACAAAATGAGTTATGCATACCATAAAAAGAGTTCGTGTCCTTAGCTTATTGCTACGATGATGCTGCACTTTTACGATATATTTTAAATGAATATCGAGTTCAGAAGAACTGATTTCGAATTTCGACTTGAAACTTTGCATAAGGATAGGCCTTAGCAAAAATAGATTTTTTTTGTTTATGTTTTAAATCTTCTTGCTATTTCGATCCTAAGATAGAACTATGATAATAGTGTATCTTTTACATCGCTCATATAAATCAACAGATTTATATGAAAAATGTCAGAATAAGAGATTGATAGAGATATATTAAATCAGAAGGTATATTATATATATTTTATTTTTAGAAAACATAAGTTTAGTATAAAGGATGACACTACATTATAGTGACTTTCTGACAAGAGTACAACACATGTTACTTGCGAACAATACAACCGCGAGATATCGCTAAAGTCAATTATCTGATCAGATGAATTTAATATCATCAATAATCTATTTCACATGCCATTAAGATTATTTTTTCAAAATAAGTTTCATCCTTATAAATTTTCAGTTCGACATTCATACATATGTGATCAATAGTCAGACTATATATATATGTATTTCTCAATAACAAATGTTGTTTGCATTCCCATAATATGTGTCCTCTATATGAATATCATATGATTGGTTGTTCTCTATTTCCAAACGTGTGGTAAAGTAAGTAACTGTTAATAGAATAGTACTAGACACATGGCTCTTTTTTTTTATACGAAACTACTAAATTACCTAATCTATTGTAACTGTTCTTTTATACATAATAAATAAATATATCATTGTATATTCTTGTTTCTTTTTTAAGATTAATTTCTAATAATAAATATGACATCTACTAATTCAACAAGTCGTAAATCAAAACGTGATGATCCAAAACGTTCATCTGCACCTATAACTGTTGTTGTTAGTAATGAACAACAAATGACAAAGGTTGGAATCTTTTTAATTTTCTTTATTTAATTTAAATAAATTTTTTTATTTATTTTTCCAAGACAAAAAATGCTGTTAAAACAAATGATGCTATTGTATTAACTCAAACATCGAATACAATGAATAATAATAATAAAAAACGACGAGCAACAGAAATTATTCAAAATGAAGTTTGTTAATTCTTTTTTTGTTTTTTTTTTTTGAAAAATCAATTAAATAAATAAATCTTTGTTTTTTAGGTGCCTTTATCTGAACGTTTAAGTGCATTTGAAAGTCAAACATCAACTGGTCAATTAAATACAGAACAAAAACAACAAAGTCTATCAGCTGATAGTCTTGTAACATTACTTACACAAGGATTACAAAGTTCTGATACAACTCTACTTGATGTAAGTAAATTATTCTTTTTATTAATTCTCATATTATTTTATTTCAAAATGATAATAATCATATGAAACAATATAAACAAAGAAGATAGATAAGAAAAGAATGAAATATATATTTGTTTTTTGCTTTATGTTCATTTAAATTTTAAATTGATGTTTGATTATTTGTTATTGATGATGAACGAGATTTTGGTACACTATTTTGTTTTCTATTTGAACGTTCACTTGTTGGTCGTTTTATTGGTATTGCTGATGACGAATCAAATCCTTTACTACTTTGACTTTTAAGATATTCAAATACATCTCGTGAACCTGTTTCACGTGCCCATTTAAGTGGTGAATAACCTTGTTTATCTGTTACATTAAGACGTGCACCACGATTTATAAGTAAACGTACAAGTTCAACATCATTATGTGTACATGCAACATGAAGAGGAGTCCAACCCGATGTATCTTTTGTATTTAATTCAGCTTTATATTTAATTAATAGACGAACAATATCTAAATGACCTATGTAGGAAAAAAAAATCAAAGAGAAGCTTTGCACGACAAGTTTTTTTTTTTTGGTTTGGAATTTTAACTTACCGAGATCAACAGCACGATGAAGTGCAGTAGCACCATTTTTATTAGCAATGTTTATATTAATATCATGTTTTATAAGTAATTCAATATATGATGTTGCATGTATTTTGACAGCTTCATGCAAACATGTTTCACCAGTATTATCTAAATTATTAATGAAATTTTTTCGTGTTTCATCATCAAATTTTTCAAGAACTGTTTCAATTAAATATTTAGCAACATTATATCCTTGACCGGCAACAGCATAAAAAAGAACATTATGTCCTTCATTATCTCGACTAAATAATTCTGCACCTGATTCAAGTAATAAACGGCATATAGCCATATTACCATAAAAAGCAGCAAACATTAATAATGTTGCTGCTTTATCAGCATCGGATAAATTTGATAGACATTTGGTTTGTTCCGGTGATGAACATGCCCGTAGTTGTCGACTTAATTCTTCTGTATTATCCGTACATATTAATGTAAATAATTTATCAAATTTTGCTGATTGTGATTGACCCATAAAAGTTTTATTTTATATATATAAATCTACAAAAACAAAATCACTACTTTTTTTTCCTATTAATTTTCATTTCTTTATTATTATTATACCAATTGACCGTAGTTACCCTTCATATACGCGTGCATATAGTTATATGCATCATTGATCGTTCGTTCGTTCGTCTTTCTTTTTTGATTGAAGAATATTCATATAGAAGAATAATGGTACAGAAGAAAAAAAAAAGAATATTATGCATATTTCTCATCATTTTCATATGTTAGGTTATCTAATGTCGCATCTTTTATTTTAGCAAGTATTATGTTGTCGTAATGAAAAAATTATTGAAAAAACTGTACGTGCACTTGCCATTCCAGTTCTTTTACCATTAATTAATTGTTTAAATAAATATCTTTATCAAAGTGCAGACAAGTAAAATAAAAAAAATAAAAATAAAAGAAGTTTCTATTCATGTATTTCAGAGGTCTTATTGCATCAAAATGGTTACGAGCTGTATTAAGTACTCATACATCATATCTTATGACAGTAGGTTAAAGAAAAGATTTTTTATATTGTTTGTTTTTTGTTTACAAATAATTTAATTTTTCATTTTAGTGTCCCGATATAACAGAACGTCTCGGTCCAATGTATGAATTAATTGAAGCACGTACAAGACTTTATCCAAAATTAGCAAAACTTCATGGAAAATTATCACTTATTGCTTCACAAGTAAATAGAAGAACGAAAAAAAGAATTCATCATTTCATCTATTCACATAATAATAATAAAATTTTCTTCTTAGTTTTAACTTAGAATTTTTTTTCCCTGTAGCAAACAGATAAAGTTTACTTAACATTTTCTATTGATAAGAAGAGACGAACGATATGATTACATATCTATATACATATTCCCAATACCCTTAAACTGGGCGTTGAAAAAAGTAATGATGAGAGTATTTATCTTTATATATGTCATTGATGATAATATATGTGTAAGCAAAAGAAAAATAAGTGAAGCGTATCCAGAAAAAAGAAAAATAAAAAGATATTTCGCTAGTTAAAAATGTTATGAAATCAATTGTTAGATTTGTTAGGAAACTATTGTTTAGTACTCAATTATTTAGTCGAATTGTCTTTTTTTATTTTGAATTCAATATCAATCTAGTATTCTAATTATTGAAAAATAAAAATTATACAAATGAAAAACAACTTTTCAATTATTCGAAATCGATTTTACACTATTCATTTCTCCATAATAGCTTTGAGATAGTTCATTGATATAGAAAAAAACAAATTTATTTTTTCGTCTTTCTGTACATTTGTTTCCATTTATTTAACATACTGGTAGAACGATTGTTTTGTTTATCGAATATTAAATTTTGTGAATAGTATTAATTGTTTATTCGTCTGAAAATTCTAAACATTCGATTTTTTTTTAATGTATTCTCAAATTCACTTATTTTAACTTATATAACAGAAAAAAATGTTGAATTTCGATGCTGAATAGAAAAATATGCTGACTGGACAATTCATCGCGAATATGTGGGTGTACTCTCTCATTCACCCTCGATACTTTTTTAGGATATTTTAAGACTAATATATCATGAGATGAATTGTCCTAGCATCGAAAAATATTATTCAATAGTACTTCTAAGAAAAATCTGTTCCTAATAGAGAATGATTTTATGTATAATCGATAATCGGATCTTGATTGTTTGTATGAACTATTACACATATTCAGATATGAAACTGTAAAATATTTAAATAAATCACCTGAAAATAGATATATGTGTTTCCAAAAATAACGACCATTGTTTAATTAATTAGTTACTGCGAAATTGCATCATGATTTGTGTATTTTTTGATAAATATATAAGAATGAGAATGAAAATGACATTATTTGATACAATGGATGAAACATTTACTTAGTCAATACTATAAAAAGGTAAACGAGCAATTTGGTATAACAATTATTTGTATCGATTAACCATTTTAGGACAAGGTTATTTTTTGCGACGCAAAAATTTTATTTCTAATCTGCCCTGTTAATCTTTCAAAGACTGTTCCGACGCATATGTATGTCGCTTGTATCAAATCATAAAGCAATACTTGTTAGATCAATGATAAGTCGTACGCATCAATAGATCCTAAACAGAAAACATCTATATGTATCTCCTTTCCCAAAACGATTAAAACATGAAAATCAGAACTGTCCGTTCACATCCGTCTGTGTATTAAAATCATATTCTCGTGTTATTACTGTAAAAAGGAATGCAATGAGTGTTGATCTTGTCTGCCTCCAATATCCACACCATCAAGAACAAGATTTTAATTTCTTATGAAAATGTCTTAAGAAATGTTTTTCATCGATATATAGATGTTTTAAAAGATGTTAAAGATATTAGTGTGAAAGGAAATTTTTTGTTTTGGTTCGTGCAGTAGTAATGATATAAATCAATACCATAGAATGTTTTTTTGATTGCTTATTAACTGAAAAGTAACTGCATATTAGAAACGCAACAAAAAAACAAGGCAACGCATTTTATTCGTTCTAAAAAGGGGTTGTTTTTCAATAATTGGCCTAATTTTTCCTCGTCACTAAATGTTGTCGTTGTGTAATAATTTCGAGAAACAATCATACTCAAGTATAAACATTTAATGATTCATTGCTTTTCTCTTCTATTATATAATATCTGAGATGAGGTCTGTTAGATCCAAAGAAAAATGCGAACTAATTCTCCCATCTATCAAACTGTAATGTCAAAGGATGAAATCAACTTACTCAATAGGAATTAAAAAATTTTGTCTCAATGAATGGTGTCAGTCAAAATTGTTCAATAGATCAATGTTTCAAATGATTAAAGAAAAAAGTTAAAATTATAAGTCTATATGTTATTTTTATTTAGATCAATAATCGTAATAATGAATTATCAAATAGTGATGCAACTATTTCAACGAAACCATCATTTGTGTTTGAAGATGTATCTGATGAAGATATTGATGGTGATCAGACACAAGATGAACTTGTACCTAGTCCATCAGAATATGATGAATATTCAGGTTTATCTGATGATCTTGATCTTGGTATACAAGATAATGATGATGATGATGATGAAGAAGAAGAAATGAATGAGAGTGACAATGACGTAAGTAAAGTTTTTCTTTTTTTTTTTTATCAATCAATTAAATTATTTTATATGATTATTTAAGATACACTTCGATAAAAACGGCCATGTGAATGGAGATAATAATGAAAGTGATGATGATGATGATAATAATTCATCATAGTTGTTTGTTATTCTGTGTTTTTTTTTCTTTGTATTATCATCGTGTTATTTCCAAAAAAGAAAAATAAAACAAGCAAAGACACTTTTGCACACTAAAAAATATCATTCATTCATAACGAAATAATAAGCTACAATTTTTTTTTTCACATAACTACAAATAGAAACAAAAAAAAAGATTCATGTATGACGAGTTGTCATAGTACGAACGTAAAATGAAAGCAAAAAAAATTTAAAAAAGTAAAAATGTTTGTTTCTTTTTTTTTTGTTTGTTTCATATAACTGTGAACAATCCACTAGCAACTTGTGCTGCATCTGATAGAGATTGTGAAACCTAAATTATATTTAATAGAACCTTTTTTGTTTTTAATGTAACATAACAAGCAGAATTATTACCGAATTTCGAGTAGTACTCATTGTTTCAAAATCATCTAAATGTCGTTCTAGAAATTTCATTGTTTCTATTTTATTTGGTGATTGATCTTTAAGCATATAAATTTCTGCACTACGATATATAGTAGCAATTGATATTCGTTTTGTATACCATTTTATCTATTTCAAAAAAAGAAACAAAATGAATATAAGTTTTTTTTTTTTCTTTTATTACTTACATCAGTTGATATATCATCAATACCTAGCCAAGCTTGATTGGCTAAATCTAGTAAACTTTTCCAAGCACGTTGTGTATTTGGTGGTAAACCTTTTTGAGATAATGCCTGTTAAAAAAATATGATTTTAAAATATAGAATAAAAATTTTGAATATATTAGAAGATTTTTCTAATAAAGAATCCCTAGCACGAATGTCTTAACATAACATATTCATTCATTTATTTTTTTGGTCACTTAAAGACAAGTTGTTAAAACTAAAAGCAATGTGTTAGATAAAAAATTCTTTTGGTAGATATAAAGCAAAATAGTAGTTTTGGTGCAATTCTTAGTTTATATCTTTGAATAGCTTCAAGTCAATATTATTGTAAGCAAAATCTGATTTGTGCATTTCCACTAAAAAGTTAGTTTCTGTGAAAATCGGTATTGATAAAAAAAATTACTATTTTTAAAAATGCAAAAGTACATAACACATTTTATAGAGCAAACAAAGCTGAGATATTAAAAACTGTTTTGCATTTTGAATTTAATAGATTTTAATCGAAATTCGAAATTGATTGAAATAGTATTTTTTATTGAAATAATTTGATGATACTTATCCAATCCTATCTTACAATGTAATTTTGAACAGACATTCGGAAAGAGCGAAAAAGATCTCGTTCTAACTAACTGTTTCCAGATGTAAGCAATTGTCTTCGAGTGGTCGAAAAATGAGTAAATATTTGGTACAAAAAAATACTTTCGCGGTATAGGTTACAAGCAAGACTGACTCGAGCGAAGTGGATTACTATTTCAACCTTGAAAAATTCTCGTTTTTCTCCAGCGGAGTTCTAGTGTTATAAACGTTCAACCTCGCCCTCAAATCCGATTAATTTTAGCAAAAATCTTCCAATAAGCATCCTGATTCATCGACCCTCGCACAGCCCTGGTAATCAATTTTACATATTCTAATTATAGTCCTTTGATCTCAAATTCAAATTGAGGAATAATTTATTTAATGACTTCTTGTGAAACGAATTTTTACTATTTTACTACCATGCTTGTATGTTCACTAGAAGTCATTATAGACTATATAATATATTACTAAAAGATCATGTAAATGGATTTATAAAAAGTTCGAAAGAAAATGTATGTGCAAAAAAGTGTGACATAAGTTTTTCAAATTTTCAAAACACGAATTTATACAGAAACATAATATTTTTAATATCTATCAAACACTCTAATCACCAAGTCCAAAAGAACTATCCCCAATATTTGTGTTTAATAAAAGTTAGTAAATATTAGCATCTTTGACTAATACAATACATATGATATTCGTCATGCTATATAATAAGTAACAATATAAGAAATACGTCATAGTGATATAAAAAAATCAAGGTAAGACATATGTTACGTATGTATAAAATGAGTCATCACATTTATTTGTTAATAGTTGTTGCTTTTTAAAAATAGAGTTAATTGTAACAAGTCATGGCCTCTATATGATCATAGCCAAATATACATTATTGCATACAATAAAAATAGCAAAGAACAAGAAAAAAAAACATATCAAAATTTTAGACCAAAAGACTATAATTATGTTATATTGTTTGTTATAAAATCTATCCAAACAAAATGCTGTTATTTACAAATTATTAGTATTAAAACACTTCTCAGATAACTACTCTTATAATAATTATTCCTACGATATTTCTTTCTTCACCTATGCTTTATTAGAACTTCTAGGAATCAAAAACTAATTAAATGCATACTAAAATTAGAACTTGTTTTCCTTATATTTAAGAAAAAAAATAATAAATCTCAAAAATAATCATACCTGTTCCCAAATATCAGCATAGGGTATAACAAGGTTCAATCGATATTTCAATCCTTCAATAAGTAGACGAATTCCTTCAATATGTTCTCTATTAATAAAAAAAAATAATAAAAAACAAAAACATCAACTATGATATTTTTCATTCAATTACTTATTAGCCAATTCGTTCATATAAGCTGTCATTTTAGCATTGGAATCACGCATAAAATATTCTACAAGATCATAACCATTATAAAATAAACCTTCTGCTGTTTTAGGTTGATTACATTTCTTCATGCCTAATTTCAATAACAAAACTGATATATATATATATATATAAAAGAACAAACCAGCATGAATTGCTGCCATTGTCCATCCTTTTTCATGAACATAGTTAAGAGATTCATGTAATATATGATTGCGTATTTCAATTTTATGTTGGATGAGAATTTCATTAGAATCACTATTAAAACAAAAATACATTTTTGAATTTTGTATTTTAAATGTAAGAAAAAAAAAGGAAAACTAATCGAAAATTTTTTGAAATAGTATGTGGAAATAATAGAAATGTATAGCAAAGAATACAAATTTTACTCTAAAAAAATAAAGAAATTCATTTTACTTGCCTTGTATTACTTTTGTCTTTTATATAAAATAAATCTTCTTTTGGATGATTTATTGTTTCATATTTAATTTTATTATTTTGTAATGATAATGGTATAAGTGAATGAAAACCAACAGCTATGGAAAATGAATCTGAATAAATATTAGTGGAAAATATTTTTGGTACAAAAACAGTTTCTGTTGTTGTTGTTGATGATGATGATGTTAAAGGTATATTATTTGGTGTAGATTGTTCAAAAGCTGAAACAACAGCTGCTTCAGCTAATTGTACTGGTGTAATATCTGATTGTGAAGTACATGTTTTAAATGGATCTAATTCATCTTGTATAGTATAAATTTTAGTTTCATAAATATTCTTACCATCTTTCATAAATGGTGAAATGAATGTTGTTGAAGTATTATCACGAAGGGAAGAAATATGTATGTCATATGAAGGTCGTGTTGACCTGAAAATTATTTTAAAATGATGATATCATATATAATAGGAAATTTTTATTTTGAAGATATGTATATATATTTTTTAATTAACTCACCAAATATTTTCATTATTTGTTATTGTTGTACTATGTTTAATAGTTTCTGATGGTTGTTGACCTTTGAGATCATTTGATGTATGTATTTGTTGTTGGACTGTTGATGATTTATAAAGATTTGTACGAACATTAACTTTATTAATCTTTTTTGGACTATTATTTTTAGTTGTTATATATCGTTTAAATATTAAATTATTTACATTATTAAATAATAAATTTTCTTCTACAGATAATAATTTATAATTAACATCAATAACTCGACATAATGGAGATTTTCGACCTAAAAAATTACGTATATAATTCAATAGTGTTTTGTTTTTTGTAGTAAATAATACAAACTGCAAATATATATTAGTTGTTGCATTGATTTAGTAAAATATGTTATTTAAGTAAAAAAATAAAAATCACATATGTTCCATACAGTCGATTAACATTTATGTCGCTATGATCAATGTAAATATAATGATATAAATGTTTGAAATATATTTCTTCTAACGAATTGAATATTGAATCTTTATAATTCTAAAAAAAATATTTGAATATATTTTTCATAGATTTAAAAATATTTTTATCGAATTTGTTTTTTATTGGTAAATGAAAATAACCACTTAAAAAGATAAAAGTGTGTGTGTTTTTTTTGACACGTATTCTTATCTTCTTAGTTTATCTCGATTGTTTAATTTAGTTGAGAGTATTCAACAATAATATTTTTACTTAACAAAAAATTTTTCATGGCATCAATAACAAAAGACAATGAATTACGTTCATTTGATGTACCTGAAATAGCACGTCATCCTAGTGGTCATACCATTTATAAAATTGTTTTGCAAATTACACCAAAAGAATTTACTGAAAATAGTTATCAAGTGCGTTTATATATCTTTTACGAATTTATTTTTTTGTGGTTATTGTATAATCTGAAGTAGGATCTATCTACTAAATACATTTTGGAATATAAAAATTATCTTTAAACGTTAAAAAATCAAATTTACATAGCGAAAATAACAAATCGTATTTTTCATGAAAAAAAGTGCAGAAACGCTCCGTAGGTTCGATCGAGTTGAAAGTTTTTTCACGTATACTATACATTGTTTGGATTGGAAATTTTTCTTGTTTCAAAAACAAAAAAAACGTGCATTCTTTAAAGTTACTCACCCCTCAAACAGTATTTAGTGTCTGTAAAAAACTTTTTAGCTCGATCGAACATAGCATCTCGGAGAATGTGCGGTGGAGAGTCATTGTGATCTCAGTATCTCATCGAGGGCAGCATCCGAGAACTTTGAGTGGCTGACAATATTTGTTCTACTAGTTAAGATCTACTTGTCGTGAAAATTTCGAAGTTTTCTAATGAGTCGTTCTCCAACAACCCGAAAACTGGATGCGGTGCTCTTAATCATATTATGGTAACCTCCTCTCAAAAAATTGATCTTGGCACAGATGCAATCAAATCATATGAAATTTTCGGGAGATCTTCATTCTATATACTCATTTTTTTTTTGTTCGAAACAACATGTCAGGGTGTAGGGTATGACAAAGCTCTTACTTTTTACCTGAAGAAATATTCAATGTCTCGACAAATGGTGCTCGAATTATAAAATGTAATAGTAAGAAAGCTTAATTCAAAACAGACACCTTGTCATGCTCTTTCAAACAAAAGAAAAGCAATCGACTACAATGAAGCTTCTTCGAGTATTGTCGGATGCGCGATGAAAATGAATGGAGAAAAAAACAGAAAAGAAATAATATCAGCTTTTTCTAAAAATATCATATTTTACAGACAGATGGTAGTAACAATCATCAGAAATATTGTCACAGAAGGAAATATCGAATGAAAATATCAAGTATCGGGCTGTCTTTCCATGCATTGACCTTAAATGTCATTTTGTTTTGTTGTTTTTTTTGAGAGGTTAGAATGACCTTGACAAAAAACAATATTCGTGACTAACTTTACCATTAGTTTTGTTGAATCTTTGCTAAACATAGATTAATCTTAAGCCTTTACTGATTTACTTATGAGTGGAAGAAAAAAATGATTAAATATTTTATTTCATGACTTGTAATAAAAATTAGATATAGATGATTATTTGTAATTAAATATACAAAATTTTTTAGTAATAAATGTAAAGAATAAATTTTTTTGTTTTTTAGTTAGTCTATTGGAAACGTTATTCTGACATTCGAAAATTATACGATATTCTTCATCGTTATCATCAAGCTATTCTTCGTCCAGAGAAATTTCCAAATTTTCCTAATAAATCATCATATATGGGTATTTATATATGTTAGCGTTCAAACTGAGCCTATGTCTGATCTCGAATTGCCCTCGACAAATCTTGGATTCGAAATTAGATGCGTCAAATATGATGGAAATTTAGGTTGAAATTTGAATTGATCTGCAGATTGCTGTCAGATTTGGATTTTTATTAATGAAGTAATGACATTTCAATTTATATAACCATTACTGTTCTAGTCTTTACTTAATTCATTCATTGATGATTGTACGAATTGAAATGTCATAGCTTTATCACTAAGAATCTGAATCAGACAGCGATCGGCAGACTAATTCGAGTTTTTAGCGTTAATTTCCATCTCAATGAAAGTATTCAATCTCAGATTCAAGATTTGCCTAGATCAATCTGTTGAGATAACATTTTCAACTAGATATGAAAAACATCAAAAGGAGAAGTTCGCTTAGACCTTCTGATACGAGCTCTAGACATTTCACTAGAATTTTCGCCTGTAGTTTAGTATATACCAACAAATCGAATGAAGATATTTTCCCCATAGACAAGCTTGTTTACTGGTAGAATGCTCTGAAAATTTCAGCTCAAAAGGCTATTTCCTTTCCGAAATACGAAAGTCTCAAAAATCACTCATGTTACACGAAAGATGTTAGAATTTTCTGTTTGTTATTACTGTAATATCTCAGGAAGAAAATATTCTTTTGAGCTAAAATTTTTAGAGTATTCTACTAGCAAATAAACTTATCTATTGGCAAAATCTCAGGTCGAAATATCGTCATTCGATTTGTTAGCATGTACCAAGTTAGAGGCTAAAATGCCAGTAACTCTGAACGGAAGATCTAAGAGAACTTATCCTTTTGAGGTTTTTTATAATATCTTACTGAAGTCTATCTTATGCACACAGAGTCCAAATTCAAAAGCAATTGATCAGTTGAAAACGTGTTTTTTCTCGTGAGACTAACTGTACTTTCAGTTTGAACGCTAACATATATAAAACACATATTATGCATTCATATAATATTTTTAGAACGTTTTAATCCGACTATTGTTGAAGAACGACGTTTAGCTACGAAAGAATTTCTTAATTTTGCTTTAAAATATTTATATTTATATACACATGATGCTTATATAAATTTTTTTAAGGTAATAATAAAAATAATTAATCGTTTGTTTTTTGTTTTTTTTTTATTAACTATCAATAATGATACAGTTTAGAATGGTGAAAAAATTGTATTACCTGATGTTGAAGCAGATACATTAAAACCAGAATCAGTTATAACACAACAATCACAAGTATCGATTCCAATTTCACCTACACCTATGCCATCAATTTCAATAAATAAAAATAAAGATGAACTTTTATTAAATGTTGATGAAGATGAAGAAAGTGAACATGCAAATAATCCATCTACTAGAATACTTGATGAACTCAATGATCTTCAATTTGAACATGATGATACAAATAAAGATGATTTGAAAGTAATTCAAGTTGAACCAACAGGTAAGAGAATATGTTTGTAAATTATTGATTTAAGATTTATTTTATTTAGATCTCATATCATCACCATCAAATACAAATAATAAGGATTCATCTTAATAAGAATTTGATTATTTTATGTTTATTATACAAGAAAAAAAAACAAGTGATTTATATTTTTAATATATTCAATGTTTTTGATTATCAATTCATTTATTCTTAATTTGACAATGAAGATCATGAAATCTTAAACTATATCTCTCGATCGAAGGATACTTATAATAAGACTGATTGATTTCAAATTGAATCACTAATAACATTTGCTGAAGGTTTCAACAATCTTTTAGATTTTTCATTCAAATTTACGATAGTTGTCAATGGCAAACCGGATTTTGACAATTTGCCCAATTTCTAATGGGAAATTAGACAAATTATCGAAATTATAGAGTTTCATTGATATCCTCGCTTCATTCTACTATAGCTCGTTGATAAACCATAATTTCGACAATCTATTTTATTGTAAAGATTCCAGTGAAAATTGAACAAATTGTTGAATTTTACATGACGAAATTCCATAGAACCTACATAATGGACTAATCGAACTTTGAATTATTACAAACGTATTCATTTATAAATACTGAAATATATAATAGAAAAGTTTAAGACATATTTTAAGATTCGTGAGGCTTCATTTATAAACCTATGTTTTATAATTTGAAATCAAAAAGTGAATCTTTGTCATAAGTCATTATCTTCTTTTGTTTATTCTATTAACTTGTTATTAAATTAATTATTCGACATTATCAATTTTAGCATCATATATTCTGTAAACAAGTTATCTAACGAGGGAAGTCTCCCTATGAATAAATTACTTTTGAGTCAAGACTACGTGTATTATGTAGAACCAAATGAACTATGAATATCCTGAACAAAATTCAGGTCCTTAGCTTATTGCTACTCAGATATTACACTTTTATAGTAATTTTTTAAATGAATGCCTTGATACCTTACAACAACACTAGGACAATTGATTTCCGAATTTTGACTTGAAATTTTACATAAAGATAGACCTTGATGAGAGTAGTTTATTGCAAATATTTCAGATGTTGTCGTTATTCGTATCTTAAAATACAGCTATGATAGAAGCGTATCTTTTACATCACTCATATATAACAGTAGATTCGATGTTCCTATTTCAGGTTAGAAGTAAATCAAAAAAATTTGAAACATTTACAATAATCAATTCTCATCCAGGTCTACTTTTGTACAAAGTTTCAAGTCAAAATTTTAAAATCAGTTTTCCTGGTTTTTCAGAGGAAGACTATGGCATTCATTCAAAAACTATTATAAATTTACAGTTTCTATGCAACGATGAGCTAAAAACTCGATGCCGTTTTAGAATAGTCATAACTCGTTTGTATCTATATAATGCATATAGTGTCGATCCAAAAGTGATTTATTGGCTGGAAGACTTCCTTTGTAAGACTAGCCTTCTAAATTTCCTACCCGATAGTGTATTAGCTACATATATCTCAGAGATATGTTGCTCAGATAATAATGCTGTAGTATGATGTATCGACATGAAACTTGGATAATAGTATCAAACATGTCTTCTTTCTGGAGCTACACTATGTTATGACTCAT